CGATTATGGTGCGTCAACTCACTGCGGAACGGGAATCTCGCATTAGGGAAGAGCAGGCCGGCTTCCGCCCAGGACGTGGCTGTATAGACATATTCCCTTTGCGGTAGGTGCTAGAGCAACGCCACGCATACAGCAGACCGACAATAGCTGTGTTCCTCGATTTCAAGAGTGCGTTCGATTCAGTCGATTGATGGATTCTGTTCGAAATACTTGCGCGGAAAGGTTCCTATGAAATATGTGAACATTCTTCGTGCTCTATACTCGGACACTACAGGCCGCGTCAGGATCTATAGTGTCCTATCGGATAGCTTTCCGACCACAAGTGGCGTTCGTCAGGGTTGTCCGATTTCCCCATTTTTGGTCAACTTCGTCGTGGTTTCTATCATGAACTGTTCCCTTGGGGAATCTCACGACGTAGGCGTTGAAGTGTTGCCTGGTGAAAGGTTAGTTTATCTAGATTATGCGGACGATATCGTCTTGCTTTTCGACGATTTTGGGGCGGCACAATCAACCCTGAATGGCATGTCCAGAGTGGTTCGATTTTTTAGTTTGCTCTTCGCACCTTCAAAAAGCAAGTGTTGCTGCAGGACCACCAGCCACTTGATGATCCCTTGACGTTGCTAACGAGGAACTCGAGGAGGTTGATCAATTCACTTATCTTGGCAGCTGCATCAGCAATGATGAGTGCATAGAAACTGATGTCAGCTCATGCACTGAAAAAGCCAGAGCTACCTTCTTGAACCTGCTGCATTTTTGGCGACAGAAGTGAGTTTCCCTCCGTCTGAAAGGCCGGGTATACAAGGCCACAGCGAGGGCCGTTCTACTCTTTGGTAGTGAGACTTAGCCCCTTCGGTCCGAAGATCTGAGGCGCTTTCAATTCTGATCCTCGTTGTCTGCGATGCATTGCTGGAGTCGGATGGCTTCAGCGTGTCCACAAAGATGAAGTACTTAGGCGAGTACTAGGTAGTGATCATCATGCTAGCTCCCTAGAACAACAGATAGCACTGAATAAGTTGCGTTGGATCGGGCACGTGTTACGGATGCCTGGTCAACGCTTACCTAGGAAGGCGCTGTTAAGTCTGCCAGGTGTAGGGTGGCGCAAGGCGCGAGGTGGACAGAAGTTGACTTGGCAGCTGGAAATGAAGCCACTGATGACCAAACTGGGTGCCGTTGCTCCGTCTCCTCTTCCGGGCTGGAGTCCACGTGACTCGCCCTGTGTTTGGCTCGAGACTTTACAGGACGTGGCTCGCAGTGAACACCACTGGTGCATCTGCTGCCGTCTCCTAATCGGGTTTCCTGTTTAAAGTTTTTTTGGTGCTGAGTTATCTGCGGGGTAATGGCGGATTATGACGCGTGGCAGTGAAAGCTGCAAGGAAGCTGTCTCGCCGATGCCACCTTATCTTTGCACGACAGCCAGCTGTTTGTGACGGTATGTTATCTACACAAGGTTTACGCGCCTTGACTCTGAATCTTTGCTTAGGGCATTAAGGTTTTCAGGTAAGTCCTCCTTCTCTCTCTCCTCTTATTCTTTATTTCATAGGTCCGCATGGTTGTATGGCAGCGGAGCATCAGTTCAAATGGCTGATACACTGCTGTCGATGATGACGCTGATTCCTCGTAGCCAATATAACAGAAAGCTGTGTCGCATTATAGATAGGGCCATGTAGTGCACCTGTGATTACGCTATCGATCAGCAGTTCTTGGCTAATTACTATAAGATCTAAAACAAACGATTCGTCACCCGTTCTGATTCTCGTACGAGCACCGTTATTAATGCATAGCGGTATATCGAAAAGTACCTCTTGCCTCTACACTCAGAATTGTTCGCTGAGAGGTTTGGAGATTTCAGTTGCATGCAGGCTGAATTCCCCTCTCCAAGAAGAACGTGGCTGTAGGGTATTTCCAAGATCCGCCTCATAGGAAAAACTAGACGGTGATCCATTTCCAAGGTGGATATTTGACAGCGGTAAACTATTGTTAGTATGCACACGTCACCACCAGTTGGTTGCGGATGTCAGCATAGTCGGTCGACAAATTGCGTGTTAGGTCAGATCGGTACTATAATATTACTCCCTTCTCTGCTGGGTCGATCGTTCCGAGGAGAATCATGTGATAATGGTATTCAGCCATGTCGCGGTTGCCATGACCATGTCCCAAATCGCGGAAATCTGACGAGTACGAACCTTAGCCAGGGTAGTTGAAAGACTGCGTGTTGGTATGCAAGCAGGTGAGGAACTCTGTGGGTAGCAACAGATTTGTGGATGTGGTTTCTGGGTGCGGATTCATGGCGACTCTTATGGGTTCTGGAAACTTGAGAGCAAAAGATAAAATTGTTCGGCTAGATCTACCACAATTCTAAGGTGGTAGCAAGTAGCTGTTACGTGCAAGTAAAATATTTTGAAATGCTTTAGAGAAATTTTTCAATCCTAAGCAATTGTCAGTTATTTACTTACTTTTTGAGTATCCTTACTTATTTCTGCTCCGCTTCCTATTCTATTTGCAGTCCATCTTTATCAGCACACTGTAAACTGCGCATCTCGTCTTTTGTTACACACGCCCAACTAAACTCTTAATGTCGATGAGTTTTCCAGCGATTCAATGAAGCAGTGACGAAGTGGAAGCAATCGCGTGAAACATCACTACCGGCCAAAACCAATGCGCTGAATTGTTGCATTCTGTTTTGTTCAAAGATAAGTGTTTTGTCCCATCCACCGTAAGATTGTGAACGATTGCCTTTAAACAAACTTGGAGTGAGGGCGAGTTTTGGCAACTTATAACATATAAACGAACACATCGCGTTCATCTAAGTGGAACTCTACTTATGCATTCAGGTGAGGCAAAATATGCTTTTCTATAATTATAATTCACAAATGAGAGTGGATCTAAGTGCATCGGATTTGAAAACTAATTTATCTATTTGACAAAAAAATCAGAAATAACGAGTGATTGAGAGTTCACGTCAACAATTTTAACAATGAGGTTGCAAGTGCGCCATAAGGGATCAAAATTTTTCTTAATGTATTATGCACACAGTAGCGGTAATAACGCTTTTTATAGTCGTTACTTTCCGGTTGTAAGTGGTTCAGAAGCCAGTGAATAACACGGCACTAGTTTTCTGTGTTTCGTCACAAGTACGCGTACCAAACTTTGTAGTGTAAAAAGACACCATTATTTGGCGACCAATACAGACTCACTCTTCTTCAAACCAAATCCATCAGTTAGGCGCTCATAATGCTAACACGACAATGGGCCCATCAGCATGAATTTCAGTAAGTGATGTGCTGGCCTCCGTCTAGCGAAGCAGCCATGGTAAAGATATAAACTGCTGGTTTAGACACACTGGGGATAGTTATTTCCGCAATTATTCCAGTCCACTGGATAAAAAGTTTAATGTTGCCAAAAATCCCAGAGACCGTACTGGTGAATTAAAAAGGTGCAACAAGAGAGAGTAACGAAGAAAATAGTGTGGTAATCGGAAACGCAGCGTGAGCACCGTTGTAACGTGCACTTCCCTATGGAGTAAGGCAGGATAGCGTATACACGTGACAGGAATCACTATCATATTTATCGCTTTTGTGTTCAGTATTTTAAAATGCACTTCCGGGGTCGGTATCTGAGCTACCCCTACTGGATACCCATATAAATGTATAGTAGTATTCTTAAAGGTTGTTAAGCGGGCATGGAATTTTCCATGTTCGCGACAGCTTTGAGGAACAAAGGGGCTCCACCAATGTGATTTCTATGCACTCAGCGATAGGTTCACGGGTAGGGTACCTATGATGAAAGTTCATGTAGGCGTAATCACAGGAAGTTCCAAGTTAAGTGGTTTCCCATAAAACAAGAAAGGCACCAGACCATCATTCGTCTTATTGAGACTTGTCAGTGGTGGTTATCATGCGGTGCAATCTTAACCTGAGCCCATAACCTGTTGACACTAGCGACTTGAGCTACTAGAATACACCTAATGCCACTAGGCTACTGGGGACGAAAGTGGCCCGTCATGAAGAAGAAACTAACAGCGATATAGTGAACTCACGCTTCCTTGCCATTCAGGTTTCATGCGCTACGGAACACAGTAATGGCCACTGTAGTAAAGATTTCCATAACCCCAGCAAGGTGCAACATAGAAGGCGGACGTTGTTAAGGCAAATGTTTCTAGTATTCAAGAGTACCAAACCGAATTGAATACCGATGCGATAGCTGACGTAGGAATCAACGCCCCCATGCACATGGTTCCATCCTTTCATTTCAAACGGATTTAAACCGTATAATGACCAGGTCAATTATGGTATCGATCTCTTGTGTGTCACTGCAGTTGTTACGAATGTGCAATGCTGCACTTTCAACATTAGCTAATATTCTGCCACGACCGAAATAGGAAAAGATTAAGTTGTGTATATCATATCGACCTTGGCATATCAACCGACTGCAAACAAGGTAGGTTTCATGGATTAACCAAGCCAAATATTTGGCAGTAAAAAATAACTGCAATGATATGGTTGGTGGAAAACACTAAAAGTTCTGAAGTGCATTTGTACTTGGTCAGTGAGATTCAGGTACCGAAGATTAGTTTAATCTTAAGAAAATGAACTTAACTAAACTGAAGGAAATTTCCCGGATGAAAGCTATTAACCAGTCAAAAATGTCTCTGCTCACCAGCTGGGATATTCACAGTTTAATTCCAGCGTTTTGTGTAGTGAAGTGCGAAACGGCAGATCGCGAAAGCCAAGCTTACATTCAAGCATATTTAACAAAATGTTCGGTTTTTAATAAACGGTATCGCAAAATATTGTGTGAGTGAAACAATGTATGATTGTATCTAATTCTGGGGTGTGCAATGTTTTCGACACTGCACTGCATCTGCTGGGTGTAGGAAGAGCTGATCTGATGAAATTTTGTGAGGCCCTTTAATGCTTAACAAATATTCCCCAACCAGACCAATGCTACTCCTTACATTATTAAACTTATTGACATAATTGTATTGAGCGCTGAGAACTTACCCAGCTCAGCCGTACGAAATTCAACTGGTTTACTGGGTGCCGATGTTCCGGAGATTCGACTGACAGCATACACATTTGCGACGTACTCCGTATAATGCGACAAATTGGTCATATTATATGACATGTGCAGTCCTTCTCCCGAACTTAAGTTGATCATATATGGGTGAAGAATATCAGTAAACTGCCGACGACCGACATTCTCCAGCTTATCCTCCTTCTTTGCCAAGTCAATGGTGTAGAAGTCCACGTCTGGGGAGCTACTAGCTTTCCATCGAAGAACAGCAAAGGTACTCCCAATGGGTCTTGCATCCAGTTCAGTAGGTGCCGCAGGATATTCTATGATACAAAAAGTAAAACACTAGTTATACAAGAAAATTGTCGTGCAGTGAATCTTTCCTTGGTAGCGAAGTAAAACATAGCGGCAACTGCCATTCATGCATAAATGCCTTAATAGAGATTGGTAATATTCCCATTTGGGAGTTGTACGAAGTGGATTACGGACGTCGACCTCGGTCGGGCTTGATGGTGTCGAATACAAACTGGTAGGCTTAACTACTTGGTAATTTTAACAGTCCTACGACAATGAACAATGAACAGTGAATTTAGACGGTTTAAGAAGCGTTGGTTTACAATCCCGTTGGATAGTGGGTGGAGGTATCGAAATAACAATAATGATAATAATAATGGTAAAACAGTTAGTACTTTAAATAGGAAAATAAGGACTTATCGTTTGCTCCGCTGTAGTTCTGCAATCTGCTTAGATTCATAGCACCTGCAGTTAACCTCAAACAATTAGATGGTAAACTCCAGGTGTAGGATGGAGACGTAGTGCTAAGCGGCAAAGTGTAAGTGGATGAGTGCATCTTCCAAGCGTCTTTTAAATACTGTCAGTGTCGGTGCAGAGACGACCGATTCTGCGATAGCATTCCACAGGTGACAGACACGAATGGAAAAGCAATTTATGCAGCACTCCAGACGAATGCATTTTCTGCAAGTTTTAATGGGTGGCTCATCAGGGTTGTATTGGTGCTGAGTCGCAGTAAAGGACGGCACATTCGATGTGGGTTTCGCAGAATCAATTATGCCACAATCAGGTAGCGTCGTAGTCTGCGGTATCTTCCCCTGTATCCCCCCAATCGCTACAGCCTCTCCTGCTATGAAAAATTGCGCATTCCAATTACGTTCTTAGATGCTCGACCTTGTGGTTGCCCCAGTGCATTAAAGTCGTGTTTCAGCCATGGATACCAGGTTTGAATTGCGTATTCGACATGGGGGCGAACAGACGCACTGATCATTTGTCGAAATATGGAGCCGTTTATTTGTCCAAACGCCCGTCATCGTAGCCCAACGTGTTGGTTCCCAGTCTTCGCGGCGTTTTCGGAAAGCTTGGAGCAACCCAAGTCATCTTGAACCAGGACACCCAAGTCACGGTCTAGCGTTTACTGTTTTAGTATATTCGTTCCGAGCCGGCATGAGTAGTTGCTCTGATGTCGGATGGCAAGCACCTTGCATTTACACCCGTTGAAATGCAGTAAGTTTTGGGTTGACCAGATGCTGGTCGGCTTTCCCCTGGATCCTGCACCAGATCTTCATATCTTCGGCAAACATTGGGAAGTTTGAAGCGATTCCCTGTGCAAGGTCATTAATAAACACCAAATCCAAACGTAGACCTAGAACTGAGGCTTGCGGCACACCACACTCGACTTGTATGGGGTCCGATAGAGAGTTCCGAACTGTGACCACTAATCAGTCTTTAAGTAGAAAGCTGGCAATCCAACTTAGATGAGGGTCACTGATCCCATATTGCTGGAGCTTGGAGAGTAGTATCCGGTAGTCTAGACAATCGAAAGCCTTGGAAAAATCCAGGTAGATCACTTCAACGCCTTCTCCAGCGCCAGCTGCCTCGGCCCAACTACTGCGTGGGATTAGTAAATTCGTTGTACATGACTGCTGTCGATGGAAACCGTGCTGCTCAGGTGTGCTGATGTTACCGTTTTCCAGATAACATACCAGTGCTTAGGCAACTATGGATTCCATGACCTTGGAGAGTGTAGGAAGAAGGGATACTGGGTGGTAGTTAAAGGGATAATTTCTGCTTCCACCTTTGTGGATCGGGGTTATTATTCCAAGCTTCCATTTAGCGAGAACTTGATTCTGGTCTAAGCAGCAAGACTGCTCTGACAACTCTAGTGAAGAAAGTGCTTTATGCACCCATAATGGGTGAATATTCAGCCCTAATACAAACGCTTTCAGTGATACAGTATGAAATTCAACAAAAAGTGGGTCAATACTTGAAAAAGCATGATACCATCGTAGCATAAAACAGTTTGTTGCTTCTATATCAAGTTAGTTTTAATCTTGCAAAAATTTCGCAATGTGGGGGACTATTGCCGAATGGTAAACTCGTGTACGGGCATATATGTATTTGCATTTCTGTTTGGCGGACGAGGTTGAAACACATTCAGACAATTCACAGTTGAAGTGGTGACTTATGTCGGCAACTACCGTTGACGCAAAGCTCTCGCAAGAATTAACATGCTCGGTTACAGTTAAATCAACGAACGTCAGTTTCGATACACCGCTGCATTTAGACAACTCTTTTGATGACCTGGAGATTAATCTAAATCCCTTGCCAATACATCACGAAAAATTGCTGGTGAGCAGTACGTTCAGTGTGGCAGAACACAAGTAGCGACAAAGCGAAGTATCAAGTCCTGGGGCACAGATGAAGCTCACAGTCGTGAGGCGTTTAACGCAAACCTCTGGACTTTAGTGAAGGCTATTTTATATGGTATGACCAAGGTAAATCACAGCTTTACCAATGTGGAAGCGTGCAACCTCTCGTCATCAAGGTTGGGTTCCGGACATTTCTGGAGAAGGTGGTTGTATCGATCGCCCCTGTACAGCGAACATAATGATAGCATTGCATTTTGACTCCTTGAGCGACAGCTCGAGGCCTTTTGACTAAAAGGTAAGGTCGTTAAGAATATCTTGCAATCTGACTGAAGAGGCATCATCATTCATTCATACATTATGCACGTTAGCTAGAAGTGTAAAGCACCACAGCTACTGTGCAGCAATACATAAAGAAAATAACTACAACAGTTGCATGCTAGCTGAGCTACCAGTAACAGATGGGCATCTTTCCGGAAAGCCACCAGCCGGCTGCTAGGTAACAAGAAAAATAATTATATACGGTTATATTACTTTACGACATGAGATGGTGGTTGGTGGGGGAGGCTAAAAGGGATGGGGAGGGACAAAGAAACCCACAACACGAATGCCACTGAGGTCGGCTCCTAGCCATATCAGCAAATGTATCCAACCAAATGTGTTCATCGTTCTTCGGTCTCCAACCAGGGGCCTATGAAGCTCAAACTGAGTCCAGCTCCGAAGTGAGGGCCTTCATTCCTCTCGACCAAATCATCGCTTGGTCACCCCTCCTCTTCTTCCATCCACAACCCCGGTGAGCAAACAACGAATGTCGCGGGAGTCGGTGGGCTGGTATGCGCAACACGTAAACGAGCCACCGGAGCCTGGTGCGTTAAATGACGGTGCTAATCAGTTTATTTCCTTTTCCTGTGCCGTAAACAAAGCGTCGAATTTGCTCGTTGCTCACGCGGTGTTCCCACCAGATGTGAGCCAAACTGCGAAGGCAACGGTGGTCGAATGTGACGAGTCTCTTCATGTCCGCTGATATAAGGGGCCAGGTTTCCCAACCGTACAGTCATTTCGAACGTACCGCTGCATTGCACACGCTAACGTTCAGGACGAGAGTGATATCGCGCCGGCGCCATAAGTGGCGAAGGTTAGCGAAAGCAGTTCGAGCTTTTATCATACGGTTCGTGTTTACATCTTCAATCCCATGGGTGCTGATACAACTTCTCTGGTAGTTGAGTTCTCGAACAACTTCTATCTGATCCCCACCAAGGGTCAGTGCAGGAGGCGAGCCCTGCTAATCTTGAAGGAAAGCTTTGCACTTCGATGGTGCAAAGCGAAGCCCGAAGCAGCTGACAGCCAGTGATAATCTGTTCAGTGCCGCTTGGCACGTCTGGGAGCTCAGTTGTTGTGGAGTTCTCCGAGCTGGGCAACTTGATTGCAGACGTTTCGCCACCACTCGAGGTAGCATCTTCAGCGCGGGGTTGGTGGCAGTTAAGTATCGGTAGCTGGTAGAAAGCCAACCCAATAATGGATACTGTCAGCAACCACTCCGTTTCTTATATTGGCCTAAGGGGCTCTTAATTTTGCCTTGTTCTCATTGGTGAATCCCTGTGTACAGCGGTCGTGCTCGAGACATAGTCATTGGCTGCGGAAATGTTGTTGCGACGTGATTGGGATTATCGCACTCGGATTGGTGCGACGGGTGTGGGCGAGTAGTCTGGGCTTACTTTGACCATGTTGTTTATTGTTCGTGTGCTGGATTAGGTTCTTTCGGACTGCGGTTGTTTATCCTCTTGAGCTCTCTCTGTCTCAGCGGTTGGTATATGGGATCGAGGTCGATATGCATGTTGATTGTGCTCGTGGTTGAGAACCAGGCTTCACGAAACTCTTTCCCTTTTTGTGTTTCTCCTTCGGTCATGATCTCTACCTTGTTCCAGTCTAAGCTGTGTCCCTCTTCATCCACGTATGCTGAAACCAATGAGGTTGCGTAATGTTTCTTGCATGCTCTTTGGTGTTCATGTATCCTTATGGGCAGCTTCCTTCCTGGTTGTATCACATAGTGCTTTTTACTGTTTAACCAGTTTATTCTATATATCACACATCTTAGTTCCAGTGTCTCTCGCTTTCCTTTTGGTTTTGACAATGTTTTCCTCAGAGTGGCGGTTGGCTTGTGGGATATCATGATATGATGTTTGAACAATCTGGCAGTCGTCTCAGATAGATTCCTTATGTACGGCAGAACTAAACGTTTCGTCAAAGGTTTCGTCAGAGGTTCGGTTTTTGAGGGCTTGCGGTTTAAGCATCTTCGGAGGAAACTGAGTGGGTATCCGTTGTGTTCAAATGCCTTGAATAAGTGGTTTTCTTCTGCTCGTTTCGCTTCTGTCATACTGCAGTGGGTTGCTATTCTATGGAAGAGTGTCTGCATACAGCTTATTTTGTGACATCTTGGGTGGTTGCTGTTGAAATTCAACATCTGATCGGTGTGCGTGCTTTTACTGCAAACTGATGTTTGCAATTCGCCACCCATTGTTCTGGCTACTAACACATACAAGAAAGGAACTTTGTTTTCTTTCTCTGATTCCATGGTAAACTTTATGCCGTTCATAGCGCTGTTGAGCAGTTGTAGTGCAACCGACACTTGACTACGTTTGAGTATCACAAACGTATCATCGACT